ATTGACTGCTGTGACTAGGAATGATGTCCTGAAATGTATCATCATCTAAAAACAGAGATACAGAGCAATGGAACAAAATGGAATAGTAGCCAGGAGTAAATCCACACAACTTTTCCACCAATTCTCCAGGAGCTCTAAGTTCTAAGGACATAATGGAGAAAGGGTAACCTCTTTAGCAAATGGTTTAGGGAAGGATTATATATTCACATACTGAAAAGCAAAAATTGGACCCTTAGAGTACACACACACACACACACACACACACACGCATGCGCACACACACACAGCTCAGTTTGGATTAAAGACCTATACTACAAGTACCTGAAAAAAAAATTACTTGAAGATAACATAGAAAAATTATCCTGACATTGTTCATGGCAAAAATTCCTTAGATATGACAGCAAAGACATAAAGCACAAAAATAGAACTAAACAAATAAGATTGAATCAAACCCAAAATACTCTGTAGTGAAGAAAATAATAAAGTAAAAAACATGTTGGAGAAAATATTTGAAAAACATACATTTAATAAGCTGTTAATATTCAAAATACATAAATAATTCACACCACTTAAGAACAAAATAAGTAACCCAATTAAAATGTGGGCAAAATGACAGAATAGATACCTTTCAAAGGATGATGTATATACAGTCATGGGTGTCTAAATTATTTTTCGTATTGCTGAGACAAAATACCTGACACTCAAAAGTTAAATGAGGAAAAGTTTATTACAGCTCATAATTTGTAGAGGTTTCAGTCTGTGGTCAGCTGATTCCAAGGCAGGGCATCTTGGCCCAGGGGCACTGCAGAGGAGAAACAGTCCATAGCAGGGTAGGCAGGAAGCACCAAAACAATAAGCAGCAGCAGCAAGCCTACCTTTTTCTGGTCCTTTATGTTGCATCCAGGCTGCAAGCCTACTGATTGGCATCACCCACTCCCTGAATGAGGCTTCCATTAGTTACACTCCTCAATCCCAGCATCACATCCTTAATCCACAGTCACACACCCTAATCTATCTATCTTCTAAACTCCCCATCTGTGACCACATGAGGCTTTGGGGGGACATCTAGATACCAGCCACAACAATGGGTCTATGAAAAAATGTTAAACATTACTCACCATCAGGGAAATTTAAATCAAAACCAAAATGAGATGTCACACTTGTTAAAATAGATTTTATTTAAAAAGAAATAGATAAGTATCAGTGAGGACACAGAGAAAAGGGACCACTTTATACTTTTTCATTAAGAATGTAAATTGGTATATGTCATGGGTTATGTCTGTGTCCCCCAGGCCTCATGAGTTTGAATTGTTCATTTGTGATGGTTCATTGTATAGTGCTTGAATTGATGGTGTAAGTGCTCCACCCACATAGGGGTGCAGCCAGCATGTGATGTAATGGCAGGAAGAAGGTGTGTCTTGCTCTTTGCCTGTTCCTGTTTGCTGTTTGAAGCTGCCATGTACTGCGGCCCAGCCATGCCTGCCTGCCTTGGAGCCAACTGAGTATAGACTGAAACCTCCAAAAACTGTAAGAAATAAACCTTTCCTTTCCCAACTTGGGCCTCAGGTATTTTGTCTCAGCAATGAGTAAGAAGCAACTAAGACAGTATATATAAACTTTATGAAAACAGTGTAGAATCACTACTCTAAAGTAAAAAAATAGAACTACAGTGTGATCCAACAATCCTATTTCTGGATGTATGTGAATTCTATATACCTAAAGAAATTGAAATTGGTATCTTGAAGATTTCTTTGTACTCCTAAGTAGACTGTAGAGATATATACAATACCCAAAATTAGGAAATTGCCTAAATATTCATGATGAGTAGAGTGAGAGTATGTGTATGTGTGCATGCATTTGTGTGTGCATGCATGTGTGTGTGCATGCATGTGTATGTGCCTGTGATAATGCATGTGTATGTTGTGTACATATTTGATCATGTGTATGTGTGTGACGTGGATACAAATATTATTCAGCCCTGAAAAATAAAGGATGCTCTGTCAACTGTTGTCCTGCTACATCGAAAATGAAGAATTTTACCCTAAGCAGAAAAAGTCAGACCTGATAAAGAAGATCATGCAGTAGCATGATCGCACTTTTATGGGGGAACTAAAAGGCAGACACAGAAAATCAGAGAGGAGGAAGGTGAAGGTGAGCAGAGAGGGGCTGGTAACGGGTGCAGACTTTAGTTTTGTCAGGTGTCATATGGAGATCTAATGGACAGCAATACAAGCACAGTTAACAATATGATGTAGGTGCCTGAAACCTGATGAAAGGGTAGATTTTAGATGTTCTCATCATGTGTAGTTATTTAAAAAGGAAAAAGAAAATGTTAATTTTGTGCAGTGACAGCAAATAATCTGAAATGGAGCATTGAAAGTATATATCAAAACAAGTAGGTATACATCTTAAATGCAGTTTTTATTTCTCACTTATACTTCAAAAGGTGTTGAAAAACTCATCTTGTGATTGGATTTAATTTAAAAGCAGACAGAATTATAAAAAGAAAAATTTGCTATAAAATAAAATGAGTTGTCAGTTGCTGCTATATCCTAAAACTCTCCAAGAGTAATAATCTGATTTTAAACATCTCTAACCCCTTCCTGGGACAATTTCCACAAGCTTGAGAAAAGATTTTCATAGACAAAAGACAAATGCAACTTCCTACTTATCACAGACTGGGTGAAATTTGAGACCACATTTCCTTCATAGAGGAAGAGGCAATAAAATCAATGACTTGAGAATTGTGTGCAAATATCAAATGCCAAATATCATTAGGAAGATTATGTTTCCAGAACTAGAATGCAGAACTGTAATAATCTGTAACCAAACAACAAACTAAAGTAAGTAAATAAACATACAAGAACAGGAATAACTCAGCGACTCAGTACAAGTGACTTTATTGCAGTGGAGGTTAGCAACAGAGAGGGAGACCTTTCAGCAAACCTGTGCTCCTACCCTGTGCTCCAAGAGTTACCGAGGCCTGGCTTTTTCCCTGTTATTTCAGGGCTCCCAGCCTTAACTTTGCTCAGAAAAGATGCTGCCTACTCTTAGAGGATGTGAGAAGTTACAGTATAATCTCACAACTCAAGTTTTTCCACTTCTAATTCAGACAGTTTAAATAAATATTTTCAAGGTGCGTAACTCAGTAATAAACAGCTCTTGCTATGACACCCATGGGGGCCTTCTTTTATGATTTTCCAAATGGGCCTTTGTCCTCCCTTTCTATAGTTAAGCCTCTACTTTTTTCCCCAACCATATAAAAATATAAACTGGTGGGGAAAATCCCTCTGGCAAATAAATGCAGTTTCTGGCACTACTGAGTGAAAACTCTTTGTGACTTTATAACATAGTTTTCTCATTTGTGGTCACCTCTTCTCTGCCTAATCTGAACAGTGAAAGCAGTGATTCTTTAACACTTAGTCTCAGAAACCCTTTAAAAAATCTTAACTATAATTACTGATAACCCTAAATAATCCTTTTAACTGTGACTTCTAATATTTAATTAGAATTACTAAATATTTTAAATATTTAAATATTAACTAAATATTTTAAATATTTAACTTCTAATATTTAATTAGAAGTCAAAATTGAAAATTTTTAAAACACTCAATTACTGATTCACTTATAAATGTGAATAAATAATGCTATGAAAGTAACTACTTTTTTCAAAGCATTAATGAGAAAAGAGACATTATTTTACAGGCTCAGAATGTATTGTTGATCCATGGCTTAGCCAGAAAATCACTGAACCCTGTCTTCTAATTCTACATCCAATCTGTTGCAGTATGCTTCTTGGTTGAAATACTTAAAGAAAACTTGACCTCATCAGACATATAGCTAGAAAAACTGGGGAATTTGAATAGTCTTTTCCCATAATTACAAGCATTCTGATTTATTATACACCAAAGATGTAGAAGTGGTAGGATCTTAAAATATTAGTTCTCACTTTACAATCTGAAACCACACAAATTAACTTTTTGTAATATGCCACACTAAGATCTATTTGTTTGCCTTATACTTTGCATCTTTCTTCCTTTTTAAACTGTAATTTGGATCTTCTGTTCACATATCTTTTTATAATTTTGGCCATTTGGAAAATACTGCATTCTTCCACTGAATCATATGATCTTCAAACTATCGACAATTTCACTATACATTTCAAAATTGCATTTGCTAACATCATGTAACCTCATTAAGGAAACTTCTACTGAGATTCTGTCATAGTTATGGTTGTAGGTACAAGTTTTACAAATTTCAATATTGACCTGAAAATTTGAATTTTATCATTGCAAAGAACAGAGTTATTTGCTGTCCTTAACATAATCATCTCACTTCATTCATTTTGGAGAAAATATTTTCCCAATGCTTAATCAGCAGCCATTGTTTGACAAATAAAAATGCAGGTCCATGGAAAAATGGGCTAATTCAACTCAATTCTAAGGGGCCTTTCCTTGGGACAACCATGTACTAGAGTATGCAGCAGGAATATGTTATTCCCTTAATATCCAAAGTGTGTACCCATGTGCCCATGAGGCACCACCAAGGAGTCACAGGAGTGCTATAAGATTAATTTTAAACATTTCAAAGGAGATTGAGTGACATACGCTGGATATCAATCAAACCACTATCTGGAAATAGTTTCAACAGTTGTTCACACTTCATTTATTTTCAAAACAGCATGTTATTTGTGCAGTTAAGTTTTCTGAAGCTGCTATTCAGAATAAATTACCATACAAAATTCAAAATGCAACAGAAAATGAAGGTGTCATCCAGTCTGATTCCAAAGATTGAGAACCAATATGGTGACCCAACTGTCAATTACACATTCTATAAGAAGTTTACTTCTTTGTACAACTTATTCTATGTTTTTCTATACAAATTACTATTAATTTATCTGGGAAGAGCTACTTAACAGACAGAAATGGGAGTGTGTCAGTCAATGCTTGTTAGCAAAGTAGACTTAATGCAACATACAAAAATACATAAAGATTTACAAGATGGACTTACAGTGGCCACCCACAGAGTCAGGTGAGGAAGAGATCAAAAGGTCTGTCTGTGTCCTGGAGTTCTGAAAGATTCAGTCTAAAAACTGAAGTTCAGTACAGTGTCTCATGGAGTCCATATTAGGAAGCCAAAGGATCTGAGTTGAAAGATTAAAGGATGATGCTAGAAGCCAGGACAGATGTCCAAGGTAAAGGTGAAGAATGGAGCTCTCTAAGGAAATGAAAATGAGCCTTTCTTCTGTGTTTTCCTTTTATTCCAACCAGGTGACAGTTGTGTTGCTGGTGCCACTTATACCCAAGGTGGGTCTTTGGTCTTCAGTAAATCCCTTCACCCATACCCAGAACTCTACTGATCCAATTTAGTTGGGTGTTTCTTACTCAAATTGACACAATCAGTTAACTGGCACAGTGGGTAGGATTGGTTTTTGTTTTTTTGTTTAGTTTAGAGGCCAATATAGTAGAAGAAAATCACAGAGACACAGAGGAGACAATGTAGAAATCTATGGTGTCATGACTTGTATCTAGGTGTTCCCTCAAAGCCTCATGCACTCTTCAATTAGGCTTTTTGAAGGTTTTTTAATCCAGGGTGTGTGATAACTAGGAGAGTTTAGCATCATTGTGGGTGTAGAAACTGGAAGTCCCACCCTGAGTATGGGTGGCACCCATCTGGATTTGTAGCCTGAATGAAATATAAAGGGAGAAATGGAAGGTCAGCTCTCTGCTTGCTGCCTCCTGCCTGACATGCCATGGACTGTTTCTCTTCTATGATGCCCCTCTGCCATGCCACCCTGCCATGGAGCCAGCCAACTATGGGCTGAAACCTCCACAAACTAGGAGCCAAAATAAACCTTTCCTCCTTTAACTTGTGAGTGTCAGGTATTTTGTCATAGCAACAAGAAAAGTATCTAAGCCATATGCTTTATATAAACTTTCTATCACATCACACAGAAGATAAAACAGTTATATACCCAACAATTGAAATATGTAGGCAATAACATTTTTTTACTACTTCATCAAAGATACTCCTTTTTCCATTAAGAGTGCCTAGTGGAGAAAACTACAGTAAGGACTGAAAAAGTTGGCTGCCACTACCTTGATTTGTGCTTTTTACCAGATTGCTTTTGTTGTACCAGTAAATGTCAACACAGTGAAAAAGGCAAATAATTTCCCAGTGTTGCTGCAAAAATAGTTTGACCTCTCAGGACCATTGAACATGGGATCTCTTTACCATATTTTGAAAACTCAATGATCTTTTCTCTGTACTTTGAAAACCACTGGGATAAAGGAAGATTAAATGTAATCAATGCATTGTTTCCTGTACTGCAAATTGCTGTACAAAGTCTGCTTATTCATGTCTTGCCTTTCTGTTTTCTTATTGCGTGAGTCATCACCTTAGAAACCAAAGTGGTTCAGTGCTGATTCCTGAAGCTGCCTTTGCTGTTGGCTCTTCTGAGAACAAATCAGCTGCCCTTGAACTTTAGCCCCAGGTGTCTTGCAAGCTACCAACAGTAGCCCTGATTTTCTTTGTGCTCTCCAACTTCTGTGGAATTGATCTAGTGAAAGAGTCAGTAATATCAATGTCAAGTAACAAAATGCATCAGTTAACATAAACATAAAAGAGATCAGGTAGCTCACAATGCTGGAAGGCTGGTATTGCAGACTCAAGCAGGAACCAGGTGACTGCAGCAGTGCTGAGATTAAAACTGGGTAGCTGTGTTGGGAATGTCACTGTGGCCTTCAAGTACCCCGGCATCCTCTGCAGCTTGCTAGCCAGCAACAAACTGCCCTATGAGAACATTCAGGCCAATGTCATCGAGATGCTGGCAGGTGGTGTGGACACGGTGAGTGGCGGTGGGCACATGTCAGGCCTCCCTACGCCCACGTGTGTTGTCAGAAGCCCTGATATTGAAGGGGGTCGTGCCCAGGTGGGTTCTGCTTTCTCTGCCTGGACATCATTCTAGGAGGGTGAGGTCAGAGGGTACTCACAGGACCATGTTACAGAGCAGTCAGCCAGCTTTTTTAGTGCTGGCACAAAGGAAGTGACTGGGGTGCCCTTTCTCTGGTACCCATGTGGGGCCATGGCTCACATCATTAGATTCTAGACTGTTTATATTACATAGGTCTGGCGTGGCACCCTCCTGGTTACCATGCTGCTCATGGTAACCTAGCATGGGAAAGGGCAAAATGCAACACTCAGAATTCATCTCTCTCCTGCATGTGTATTGCTTCTGTACACATACAGTTGAAAAATCCTTAAATTGGAACGTCCTAACCTGAGGGCTTTTATGCTAGGCAGTGAGGTCCTGGTTCCTCATGGAGTCTTTTTTGTTTTTGTTTTTGTTTTGAGAAAAAAAGCAAAACAGAAAAAAAAATTCAAAATACCAAAAAAAATCACTAGCTAATAAATTACATTTGGGGTGGGTACCAAGGATTGAACTCACAACCTCACACTTGCCAGGCAGGCACTTATGACACTGAGCTAAATCCCCAGCCCCAATAAATTACATATTATCTTAGAAGTAGTTCAAGTTACACAATCAAAGCATAAAAAATGGACAATCAAAAAACAACAGTACAAACTATTGTTTGATGACCAACAAACACTTAGTAATATGGTTTTCTATCTTGCACACTTGATCATACATACAGTCATACACTTCAGAGCACTTTCCCTTTCCTTATGACAATATCTATTACACATTTTGGATCCTAGAGATAATAAACTCTTTCAGCTTATTATTTTTACAATAGACATACAATGTAATATTTACAAATATGAGTGTGATTTATTTCACTTATGAGGATAGCCTCAAGTTGTGTCCATTTACCTATAAAAGCCTCAAAATCATCCTTTTTGTAGCTGAGTAATATTCTGTTGTATAAAATGGAGTCTTTTTTTTTTTTGAAAAAATTTTTTGTTGTTCTTTGAGACAGACTCTTGCTATGTAGTTGAGGCTGGCCTTGAACTATGTATCCTAGGCTGACCTCAAACTCACCGTGATCCTCCTGCCCCAGCCTCCTGAATGCTGGGATTACAGGGGTGTCTTTAAGGTGGGCCTGCATGTGGAGCCCAGATGTGGGAGGTGGTGGACAGTATGGCTTCTCAGATCCAGGGAGATAGAGACAGGCATACAGGGTCCCAGAAGCATTTGGGTCTGTCTTTGGGGTCCTTTTGTCATTTCCTCACCTCTCCTTTGGACCTTGAAGTCCAGAGGCTTCCACTGCAGGGCCTCCCTCCTGCTGTCCACACAGTATCCAGAGACTTCTCTGCATGTGGCAATAGTGATGAAATTTGACCTTTTCTTTTTCTTGGTACTGAGAATTGAACTCATGACCTTGTGCTTGCCAGGAAGGTGTTTTTGCCGCTGAGCTATATCCCCAGCCCTGAACTCAGGACATTTGCACTGAGCTATATACCTAGCCCCTTTTTAAAGGTTTTTTTTTTTTTTTTTTTTTTTTTTGGTATTTCTGAGTCAGGGTTTCACTATGCAGTTCAGGCTGGACTTGAAGTTACTTTGTAGTCCTGGCTGGCCTCAGACTTGCAGCAACTTTCTTGCCTCAGCCTCCCAAGTGCTCTGGGATTACAGGGGCCATATTTGACTTTTTTTTTGGTGGTAAAGGCTTTATTTATTTATTTAGTGTTTGGTACTGGGAATTGAATTGCACTTGTCAGGCAAGCATTTATTCCATGGAGCTATATCCCTAGTAAATGTTTTAATAAGTGACCCAGGTTGGGCTCAGACTTATGATCCTCCTGCCTCAGTCTCCAAAAGTGCTGAGATCCTAGCACATGTGGATATGACCTCCATTTCTCTATTGGGTTTTTTTCTTCTGAGACAGGGTCTTGTTATCTATAGTTATATATAGTTTGACGGCCTCAAACTCAAGACAATCCTCCTGACTCAGCCTCCCAAAGGAGGGGATTATAGGCATATGCCACCATACCTGGTCTGCAACCTCCCCTCTTGACTTCTTGAACTCCTTGGTCCTGGTTTCCTTCTTTAAACTTTCCATGCTAATGTGATTTAATCATTAAGCATTTATGGATTACTAGCTAGGATGAGAGCACTGGGACCCTCAGGTGTCCCCAGACAGCTTAGAGAAGATATATGAGAGTCTCCTGTGGCTGCTGCAGCAGGACAGCCCAGGTAATGGCTTTGGCAAAGCTGAGATTCTTTTACACCTGTGACCTCTTTAAGATTCTTGTCTCAAATGCAGTCACGTTCTGAGGGATAGGCAGGTCAGTGCATAGCAGATGGCTGTGATGCGAACAGCAGGGCTGCAATGACAGAGCAGGCCCTGGTTACATGCTCAGGCAGGACAGGAAGGAGTTGATCTTCTGTTTTGAAGGCCTTGGGCATGGTGGTGGTGGGGGTAGGAGCCACCTGTCAGGACCAGGGAGGGGCCTGGTGTTAACCTCAGCAACTTAGTGAGATCTGGTCTCCGAATTAAACAATCCAAAAGGGCTGGGGGATGGGGCTCAGTATGAAGACCCTGGGTTCAGGCCTGCTGTGCTGCATGCATGCCTTGGGGTATTTAGCCAAGGTATTTTGCTTTGAAGGAGTTAGTCCCTGTTGCTGTTGGAGCCTCTGTGAATATTAGGGGTATAGTTCATTGCCAACTATGCAGAGGAGCTCCCCAAAAAGTGCTCCCCGCACCCAAGGGGCCTCACTAGGAAGCAACATTTATTTAACGCACTACCTGGCCGGCAGCATCTTAAGCTGCTTTTCACGTGCGCAGCCTCATTTACTGTTTGCCAAGGACAAGGTGAGATAACTCATGAACATCCTCTTTTCTTTTAGATAAGGGGTCACAGACAGGTTACATAGCTTGGCCAAAGTCACACAGCTAGTAACTTAATTACCTTACCAAATGAGTCCCTTCCTAGCACCTACCCAGTGGCAGACTTGGGAGGTACTGAGATAAACACCTGCATGCAGTTGGCGTTTTGAAGAAGTACACAATGGCTTCCTGTGTGCGGAGGAAATTGCAGGAAGCGGGGCTAGTGTGGGGAAGTGTGGGCCTTGGGAGCTGTGTGCAGCCCTGAGTGACCAGAGACCAGGTAGATGCTGATAGAGGGGTGACCAGCAGAGCCACAGGCAGGTACCAGGCAGGGGTTCAGACCTTTGTATGGCATCTGGAGGCACTGGGGAGCCAGGCAAGAATTCACAGCTGAGAACGGAAGTTGTGCGGCTGTCTTTCATTGTCACCTCTCCTGGGAGGATGGAAGGGTATCCAAGCCTCCTAAGAAGGATAATGTGCTGACCATTTGTTTTTCAACCTCAGGAGGGGGATGTTCCCAGCTGGGAAACCTCCCTGTCACCATGGAAGAATCTGGGAGTGTGGGATTTGAGGGCCACTGGTCACAAGCCCCGTGTCATGATGTCATATTGACCTTGGCTGGTCTGTCTCTGGAAATCCCACATGCTAGTTGCAGTCCAGACAGATACCCATCTGCTGTCTGGCTTTGGGACCTGTGACCACCACTCTAAGTCTGGCTGGGAGTGGGTGCTTGTTTGAAAGAGTTCAGGAGAAGGGGCAGCAGTGGGAGAAGTGACACTTCCAGAGGCAGGATTGGCTCCTGATGGTATAGGGAGTCCTTTGGAAGAAGGCGCTGCCAGGTGCTGATGCTCTATAGCTCTATAGGAAGGCAGATGGGTGCTGGTGACAGGAAGGCTGGGGACAGGGACAGGGACAGTGAGATCACCTTTCTTGGATGTATGCTTCCGCACATGATGTCTTAGAGATGGAGGTGAAGGTTGCGGAGGGATAAGTTCTTGGAGGGGAGAATTCAGCATGGGCCGGGGATCTCAAGTGAGGGTCCTGCCTGTCTCTGTGTTCCTTCCTCCTTTCCTCCCTGCCAGACATCCATGACCCTGCAGTGGAACTTGTATGAGTTGGCGCACAACCTCAAGGTGCAGAGCATGCTTCGGGCTGAGGTGCAGGCCGCCCGGCGTCAGGCCCAGGGGGACATGACCAAGATGCTGCAGCTGGTGCCTCTGCTCAAGGCTAGCATTAAGGAGACTCTGAGGTGAGCCCATCTCACCCCACCCCATAGTGCCTCCTGCCTGTTCACCCTGGTTGGGGTTGAGGGAGGGGTCCAAGGAAGGGCTGTCGGATATCAATCCAGGGTGTAGAGGAGTCTGCAGAGACTCTGGGAAGCCAGGGAGGAAATAGCCTGGCCTCCTCAGTTCCCGGGGTGGGGAGGGGCTGCAGCTGGGGCCTTGCTGGGGACAGGACAGGATGGAGAGTCTGGCCTGTGTCCCAGCCTTGGGGCCATGCATTTCCGAGTGTTCTCTTCCCCCAGGCTGCACCCCATCTCCATAACCTTGCAGAGATATATTTCGTGTGACTTGGTTCTCCGTGATTACTTGATTCCTGCCAAGGTAGGAGCAGGTTAGAGTTTCGGGTTCTGCCAATCAGACAGGGGCAGCAGGGGGCAGATGAAGAAGGCTGAAGTGGTGACAGATGGTGGCCATGGGCTCTGTCCTGCTTTCTTTTGGGCCCTAGGGGCTCTTAGTGGCCGTGGTCGGAGTTTGAAGAAGGGCAGGGGTAGTGGCACTGCCAAGTTGCTGATGCTCAAGAGTTTGGAAGTAGATCTCACCATCTGCCTGGACCCTCACGGGCTCCGGATGGGTGGGAGGACCACTTGTTATCCAGTATTGTGTTTTCAGCCACCCTCATTTCCTGGGAGGGTAGGACCTGATTTGAGGTCACACAGTGGGCAGAATGTCCATGTCTGTACCTGGGTACCTGGGTACCTGGGCAGCTGGCTGAGGGTCAGGGCTGGGAGTGGGAGCACAGGAGCCTGGGGAAGCTGGGTGTCCTGCTCAGGCCTCTGGCCACCTTGTCCCCAGACACTGGTGCAGGTGGCCAACTATGCCATGGGCCGGGAACCCAGCTACTTCTCCAACCCCATCACTTTCAACCCAAGCCGATGGTTGGACAAGGACAAAAACCTCACCCACTTCCGGTACCTGGGCTTCGGCTGGGGGGTGCGGCAGTGTCTGGGCTGGCGGATTGCAGAGCTGGAAATGACCATCTTCCTCATCTATGTGAGTGGGGTTTGGGGACACTTGGGTACACTAGGTACCCTGTGCCTTGTGAAGTCACCAACCTGTCTCTGTCTTAGTTCCCAGTTACTTTCTCCTGGGCTGACCCACGTGTCACTCACTAGCATCCCCAGGGCCATCATGATATAGGGTGGGGTGAGGTAGGGGGAGCGGTGGGGGAGGGTGTTGTAGCCCAGTTAAGGTCAAGGCCTAAACCCAGGGAACAGGATACCCATGGTGTATTTAAATGAGGAGTTGAGGCTACAGCCCTTGGGCTCCCCAAGGAGGTGGATGGGAAGAGGGTGACCCTGGCCTGGGGAGACAGCCCTCCACCCCTTCCCAAACTCATCCCCTTCTTCAGGTGCTGGAGAACTTCAGGATTCAGTTGAAGCAGTTCAAAGATGTGGGCACCAAGTTCAACCTCATCCTCGTGCCTGAGCAGCCCATCTACTTCACTTTCCTGCCCTTCAAAGAGGACACGGCCCAGGTGTGATCACAGGTGGTGTCCCTGACCTCTACCAACCAGGCTGCAATTGTGTGGGTAGATGGCTGAGTGGGTGCCACTGGGCCTTGCACCTGTGGTGCTGTGTCCCCACTCCTTCAGGGCAGGTGGTTTGGCTCAGTGGCCACCTGGGCCAGCTCAGAGCCGTCTTTCTGTCACCTCTGGCCCACTCTTCTCCATCTCCTGCCCTGGAGTGGGAAGACAATAAATGGCTGAACTATGGGAGTGTTTTTCTTTCCAATGGATCCTATGGTGCAGATTGGGGCATGCAGGAGGGACTATGATGTGACCACCCACCCACAGCAGCTGGGAGGAGGCTGAGAGGAGAGGGTTAGTGCCTTTGTGCAGGCCAGGCATCAATGATAGAGGAGGAGGCAGGTCTTATCTGAGGATAGGGAGGCTTAGGCCAGTCCTGCCCTCTTGGATGAGACCCCCATGGGAGTCCCCTGTGGGGTTGGAAGGAGCTGGTGTGAGCAGCTTGGTCCCAGGACAGGAGCCAGCATGCTTCCTCCATCTCCTGACCCCGCTCTGGGTTTGCCTGTGCTTCCTGCCTGGCTCCGGGAAGATAAGTCCCTTGTCAAGCTCTGGGTGGTAGGCAGGGAACTGGAACAGTTTCTGGTGCATTTGGACTATGACTGTACCTGTCCAGGGCCCTTAAGTCTCTCTGAGTTTCTGACCTCTGGCCCAGAGCAGATAACAGCTCCTTGCTGGCCCTTGGTCCTCCAGATCTGAGTGCTGCCAGCAGGCAGGGGACTTGTCCAGCCAGGGACAGTGGCCCAACCTGCCTGGCCGCTTCTACCAAAGTTCTGCAAGGTTCAGGTCGTCTCTCACAGCCTTTTACTTTCCCTACCATGCAGGGATACAAGATAACTTGTGTCTCTGAGCCAGTTTCTTCATCTGTCCCACACAGAGCTGGGCGTCTTTTTCTTTCCAGCACTGACATTTCTGAGCCAGAGATGACTCAGAGCCAAAGAAGAGAAAGGAAGCAGGATGGAGAGAAAAAGACAAGAGGAAGGGGCCTCCCTTTCTGATCCTCCTTCTCACCAACCTCCTGGTCCACTGTAGTCTTTGCTTTAGCTCTGGTTCAGGCAGGAGGTGGTAAGGCTGTGGCCAAGGGCTGGGGACCCGATGGGATCTGGCAGGAGGCAGCAGAGTCTGGGGCTCAGCTTCAGCATTTAATAAAGTCATCTTTAGGGGCTGGGGTGATGCTGCCAGGTGCACAGAGAAGGAGGAGGCCTGTGCAGGGCTCAGGTCTGCTGGGAGCTGGAGGGCTCCAGCTGGGTGTCTGAAGGCTGTTTGGGCTTGGGGTCTGAGTCGGGCAGCAAGACTTCCTGCTTTGAGGGCTGTTTGAGGTTGTTGGCATGGTTCATCAAGGTATTCTGTGGGAGGCAAAGTGGGCATGTGAGTACACTCCCATTCCTGAACTTCCAATCACACTTCTGGAAGATTCCTCAACTCATCTGATCACAAAAGATGAAACCTAATTTCTCCAGGAGTCCATGGGCCCGGAAGGGCTTGCAGATGGTCTCTGGTGTCCTTGTCAGTCCCTGTGTCCTTGAAAGGCCCTTTCCAGGAATTTGCATCCTTAGCCATGAGTAAAATATTGAGGGCCAAGAGCAGAAGTCAGGCCTTTGGGTTGGTGTGAAGGCCCTGTTTGCTCCTGGGAAGCTGCCAAGATGGTGCTCACATCAGCTGTGTGGGGGCAAAATGGTGGGGGATAAGAGAAGATTCTTGGGCATAATGAGTGTGGTGAGTGGAGGCTACCATTATGCTGTCCATGGGCACAGCCAGTCCTAGAATACAGGTAGTGACAGACAGAACATTCTAGAAGTGCCTGTGTCGGCCTCCCCTCATCCACAGTCATCTCTTTGTGGAGTCTCACAAGCACCTGTGCAGGGGGAGGGGTTCCTGTTCTCCCAGATGGCTGGGGAAACCGAGACCAAGTGACAGCTTCTGTTGGCAGCAGAGCAGGAACTGAGCTCAGGACTTCGGATCCCAGCCCACAGGTTGACCCTGTAAATTTCTCTCAAGTCTAGTGACTTAGAGATGGGGTCCCAGCCCTAACACCTAAACTCTAGTTATGGGGTTACTCATGGGTTGGTCAGTGATGAGATTTGGGGAGCGCCCAAAACCATGTTCTTGCTCCTGCAGCCGTGTGGCCAAGTTCTGCTTCTCTCGGCCCCATCGTCGGGCTGAGTCCTCCAACTGCAGACATGGACAGGGGCAGTGGAAGACCCATGTGCCTGGAGCCCATTAGGATCTGGGCCTGCTTGCTGGGCAGTATGCAAAGCTCCTGGCAGCATGGGCCTCAGACCTTCCCAAGGGACCTCGGGGGTGGCAGGGGAAAGGGTGACAAAAAGGACAGACATGGAGGACCTTCTCTGCATCATGACAACAGTCTGGTCACACACTGACCTCTGGTCCTAGCTTTACACTGAGCCCTGACTTTGGTCACAGACAGAGCAGTGGGCCTGGGCCCAGCTTGGCTAACCCCTGCATTTTACCCACCTGGCTTTTATACGGCTCTGAGCCTGCTCCAGCTTGGCCATGAGGTTAAACTTGTCTGTAGTACTGGCCAGGAGATCCTGTGGGTAGAGCAGAAGTTCGTATTTGGCCCCAGTTGAGGCAGTGAGCCCAGGAACTCTTGAAGACTCGAGGTCCTGGAGAAGAGACCAGCCAGGTCTGAATCCAGTCAGCTCTGGGGGGCAGTGCCTCCCTCTGAAGTTCTTGGGCTGAGCGCCCTTTACAGCTATTTCCCTGCAGATTTGGGGCAGCACACTGTTTTAATGTACAAGGCCCCAAAAAGCTCCCAGTAGTGCTCAAGAGGGAGTCGGGCAGGGAGCCTTGTGCAGAGTGAAGAGTCCGGGAAGCCAGGGTCCCATCTTCATGTTCACCCTGAATGTCCACCATCGGGGGCTTCCAAAAGGAGCCCATCTCCTACAAGTCCTGTCCCATGTGCCCTACCCCACCTGCTCTGATTCCAAGCAGCTTGTCTTTAGATGTGTCCAGCAGTGGGCGCCGGAGCAGCCTGGATAGAGGAGGGGCTTGGGACACCCAGCTGTGCGGACAGGGTCTCTGTCTGCTTGTGGTGGCCTGGGCCATCTGTCTTTTGCATCCTCTCTGCCAAGTCTCCACCTGCTCCCAACTCTCTGGGGTCCACCTGGGTTGGGGAAAAGGGCTCTCCAGGGCTGCACCGATCCCAGGAAATGCTCTTAAAAGGGGTCTGACTGGGAGCCAGGAGCCAGGGGTTAGGGGTCAAGGGTCAGTCAAGGGCTTGCTTTCTCCCAGGCTAATAGGTGAGAGTCAAGGTGACATTCAGATGCATGCATTCCCAGGAGCTTTGGGCACATTGGCAAATCTGGGACACCCAGCTCCAAGCCTAGGTCTTTAGCTTCAATTGTGCTGTGGGTGAGTTTGGACAACTGGTGACTGGTACAGGTGGGATCAGGCCAAGGCATGGTGGTGGCTCTTACTGGCAGGGCCTGCTGCTGCAGAATGATAGGGGCTGGCTGTTGGTGGTTCTTTTCTAGCTCGGCTCATAGCCTTGAATTTTCTGCCAGTAGCACCGAGTAAAGGTCGACAGGCAAGGTTTCTCCTGTGGAACCCAGTGGAAGGCCAGGGGCTGAGGACTTGGGGAAAGCTGTGAACATGACCACAGACATGTGTGAGATGGGCCTTTCTGCCTCCATGTCCCTGCCTGATCAGTCCCAGCATTTTGCTCCTTGCTGTTCTTCTGTTCCCAAGCCATCGATGGCTCCCTACTGCAGTGGCACCAGGCCCACATTCCTAGGGCTGTCCTCCTGGCTGTTGGGAATTGGACTGCAGCATTTTACTCTCCTTTTCCCCAAGCATCTGCCATATGTGTATTTCAGGTTGTCCCCTCCCTCTTGACTGCCTCTCTCTGCTCCTAGCATTCTTGTTTCTCTCTCTGGGCCTTTGCCTGATTACATGCAGCCTTACCCAAGTTCCCGGGGACCTAATGGTCTCTGAAGGCAGGACAGGATTTCATTATTGTCTAATGGCTTTAGATCACCCAGGACCCCTAGCAGAGAGGTCTGAGCCTGGAGCCAAGACACAGAAGATGTCCCCTGCTTTGAGGTTCTTTCCCACTCTTTTCTGCCTATCCAAACTGCCTTGTGATGGGCAGTTCTAGGTGGCTGTGGTTCACCCAAAAGAGGACAACATTGGCTGGTTTGCTTTGCAAACAAAATCTTTGAAAATATGGGAAGACAGAAAAATAATTCAAAGGATTTGGTTAAGGAGTAGGGAATGCTACCCAAGGTGGCTCTCTGTGGGCCCCTGTGTCCCTGCTGTGTTCCCAGTGTGGCTCACACTAGTGTTTTCCTAGGGCCACTCTGGGATGAGGGAGCTCAGGGCCTTGGGGTGGTGTGGGCAGCACGACCCTTGCATCCCAACCCACAGATGTGACTAAGTAGGTTCTCCTGAAGCCGAGGCTCTGGAAGACTGGGCCTCCCTGGAGAGCTGGGCAAGGCCTGAGGAGTGGATCCCCCTCCTGTCCAGAGTAGATCTCGGACCCACCTGCGTGCGGCTTTCCCAGCTGCCTGCTGGGGGGCGCGTGCTCCTTTCTCTCCTGCAGCAGCCGGTCCTCCAGCACCTGCTCCATCTTTTCTAGCACCTTTGGGGTGGAGCATGAGGCGAGGCTGGGGGCACTACACTTTCCCATGTGCAGCCCCTGCCTAGGCGAGCCCGGCACCTGCCTTCTCATGGTGCCGTGCGGTGTCCTCCAGCGCCTTCATCTTCTGCAGCGGGACCTGGAACCGTCTCAGGGCAGCCTTCGGCTGCTGTGCCTGATACTGTTCCAGCCACTTCTTTTCTCGGTCATTCTTCTGCAAGGAGCAGAACGGAGTGGTGGGCAGGGAATGGGTGCCTGAGGGAAAGGATCTGCCACTGCCATCCCTCAAGGCTTCTCCCAGCCCTGCCCACCCCTCCTTCGCCACTCCCGCTTACCCGAATTAGCTCGTTCTTCATGCGCTGCATCTTCAGTTTCAGCTCGCGCACCCTAATCAGCCGCTGCAGCTTCTGTCTCATGGACATTGCTGGGGTAGGCAGGGAGTCGGCTCATGGTGGGCTCTCTAGCTCCCCTCATCAGAGGAAAGGGGAGCAGGTACCTCCCCAGCCCTGGGCTGGAGATAGGCTAGGCACTCCTTTCCTGTCTGAGAAGACACAGCTGGGTGGGGACCATGTCAGTGTCTGTGGGTGGACGGCATGTTTGTGGTCTCCTGCCAGCCTGAATCCAGCTGCATGCACATCCGAGGGAAGTTCCCCACCCACCTCCCTGTCTTCAACACAGACCCCAAGGGGTGTCTAGATGTCTATGGTGGCCTGTGCTTTCTCACCCGGATCCTGGGGTCCAGTGAACCTGCTTCCTTCTAGCTCCCGCTCGACCAGGAGGTGCCTTAGTATCTGGTTCTCCTCCTCCAAGAGGCTGATCTGTTCCCGTGGTGACATCCTCTGCATGGCCCGCCGGTAGTTGTTCATTTTCTGGTGGGTGGTGGGTGGGCAGAGCCAGAGCTGATCCCTGGGCCCTTGGGAGCCCCCTTCTTATACCTGTACCCATGTTTGGGAGGCAGTGGTTCATTTTCCAGGCTAAGTAGCAGCATGAGCCCTACACAGTGTCCCTAGGTCCCAGCAATTTGCCGGGGGGGGGGGCTGACTTGGTTCCCATCCTCTCAGCTGTATTAGGGCAGCTGCATAAATTGCTCTCCTGGCAGCCACGAGGGTTTTGCTGATGGCGGCTCAGAGGGAAACCAAGGGCATGGACCTCAGAGCAAAGGGTATGAGTAAGTAAACTGAAAGGATCAGGGCCACCAGAGCTTGTTAAGTCACAGCCAGTCTCTGCCATCTCCCACTTTCTTTCCCTCCTTCCAGTCACTAAGCCCAGGGGACAAACTCTTAGAAATCCCATTCATTGCATTTAGGAGCTGACCCTGGCATCAGCCTAGTAGTCAGGAAGGGACAGAGAGAAGTCAAGGAGACTCGGGGTCAAGGTCAGATGTTGGTTGCAGGATGGGGGCCAGGACGTAGGAAACAGAGTCAGTCCCTAGGTTAGGACCAGCAATACCAGCATTCTCTGAGCGTTTACTATGGTCCAGGCCTCCTCCTGAGTGTTTTACGTTCCACCTCCCATTCAGTCTTCACAACAAACCTATGAGGGTAGATGCTGCAATCACCCCATTGTGACAGATGAAGAAACCTCAGAGAAAGGCTTAGAGAGGCCAGTAACCTGCTCAGTGACCAAACCAGTGGCAGCAGGCCTGAGTCCCGAAACTAGGCCGTCTGGTGCTCAAGTGTTCTTACCTATTGTGCAATCCTGCCTGATGTCCACACACATAGACACCTCACAGGGTGCCAAGAAGTGACCAAAGCAGGCTACAAGAAGCCAGAAATGTTCAAGTAGAGAAGTCAGGGCTGGGTGGGGAATGGTGTGAGCAGGGACAGACTTGCTTGGCGAGCTTGGTAACCTATGGACTCCCTGAGGCTGACGAAGTAGAGTGGGGACTCACTCCCAAGATCCTAGGGAGTAGAGCTCTGCCCCCAACCCCCACTTGGGCCTCATGCTGTCTGGGGAGGTGGTCTGGATAGCCAGTCACTGCCTCCCACCTGCTGCATGCAGGCCACTGGCTTCTAGGGAAGGAGCCTGAGACAGCAGGGACCCATCAGCCACCACTTGTCACCTGTCACTGACTACCCCTCAGGCTGGACTCCCTCTAGTTGGTGATGCCAGTGTTGGGCCTATGTCAGCAGCTCTGGCCCAGGCCAAGGTCCAGGTCTTGGATTTTCCCAACTTGCCCATCTGGCGTCCTCAGACAGCACACTGGCTGAAATGCTCAGCTCAGAGACCACACAAAAGACTACAGTGAGGACAGGCTGTGTGGGCTCAGGACTTGGGCTCCTCAGAGTCCTCCTGGTGGGGACACCCATGCTTTGAAGTGGTATGTGGAGCCTCTGCCTGGGCAGTGCTAACTCAGAGGCACTGTTTGATCCCTTCCCATTTTCTCTCCTCCTCACCCTTGCTCCCTGCTCTGCTGTGCTCTGGGACTTGATTTATGGACTCTGGAAGCCAGGCAGGCTCACTGGAGAAAGCCCAAGATGCTGCTGCAAAGGAAATTTGCCCCTTTTTTTGCAGCCTAGTACAGCCTCTCACGGTGTCTGCTTGGGACAATGACCTACAGGTGCGCATACACAGTCAGGAAATCGTGTTCAAGAGTGCTCACCGCAGCACAGCTTGGTCTTCTGTTAGTGCACACTTGGCGTCTGCTCAAGTCACAAAGAATGGACCTGGAATTAATCATCAGGACACAGGGACACCCACCCCGCCTTGTGAAATGAAGAGGGTACGGAGAAATGAAGAGGCTCTCCCCATAACCGGTGGGGACATGAAAACCTGAGGGGTCCCAGGATGGGGTTACTAGCTGGACAGCCATCCTGTGGGTCTGACTCACACAGAGGCTGTAAGACCCCACTGTTACCAAACTCCATTATCCTCCTCCTCTTCCTCAACCCTGGGCTTGTGTGCTGTCTAGTGACAGCACTCTCCCTTGACACAAATGACAGCTGAGACCCAGCGCAAGGAGGAAAGTGACCCAGGGGCATCTGAGTTCCTGGGGAGATGGGTGTCTCTGCCAGGATCTCCACACTGTGACAGCCCTGCCTACTGCCACTGTCCTACCTTGGCCCTAGCCTTCTCTCCTCAGTCCCATGTCCCTTGGAACCATGGGTCTGTCCTTTCCTCCTCAGTTGGCTCCACCTTCCTGGTGGAGTGGGGACCTTGGGAGACCTCAGCCTGCGGGCAGCAGCTCTGACCTGTCCCCATAGCTGAGGCAGGGCTCTCTCAGGGCCATGCTGTGCGTCACAGCCTTGAGAGTATGTGGATACTGTGCCCCAGATTCCTGCAAAGGTCCCGTTCCCCCAACCTGTGTCCTTCTCTTGGGGCTGCCACATCCTCCAAGGGCACCAAACAATACCTGACCCTGAGCACCCATCGTCACCCACTGACATTGTCACCTCCAGGACCTTGATCCTCAAAGCCTGCCCAGATGAGATAAGCTGGGGCTCCCAAGCTGTCACCAAGCACTGGTGACCTTTGCCACAGCAATGCCCCCACTTTGGCTTGGGAGGGTGGCAGCTGTGCCCTGAGCCTCAGTGTCATCTTCTGAGGGATGGAAAACCACAGTCCTGGGGTTGCTGTGGGTGGGGGAGCATGGGGACTGGCTGGGCCTTGGTGCTGGTTACCTGGCTGTTAACTTCCTTCTCTGTATGCATTACTTTAATCATTCCCTCTGTGAGTTCTTTAATCATTCTTAGGAGAGTGCTGGGCACTGGGCACAGAGGTGATCAGGTGACGGTGCCCACGATACAGAGTGAGGCAAGAGCACAAAGGAGGATGGCAGGGTACTACTGAAACAGCAGTGGGTGCTTCTCGGCTCCCTTCCTCCGGGATAAGAGGCCTTGTCGTGGCCCTGAGGACCCCGGCCCTAGTAGTCGTTCCGCTATACCCACAGCCACTACCAACCCCAGGGGTCAGAAGCATGCTCATGCCCTCCTTGTATGGATGGGGAAACTGAGACTGGGGGGGTGTGGTCAAGGTCCTCAAGGCTTCCTTATGAAGCAGTGCAGCAAACTCCTGGCCTATCAGGATGTACTGAGGGCACTAATGTTCCTCCCCACAGGGCCCTGCACACCATGGTGGTAGCAGGAGTGTTCTGTGCCGAGAGCTCAGAGGAACCTCTGTCTCAGCCCAGGGATCCTAGAAGGCTTCCTGGAGGTGGTGACAACCTGAGCTGACTCTCAGGTAAATGGTATGAAGGGGTGGTATGAAGGGTCCCAGGTGGGGTGAGAGAGCAGGTGACGGGACAAAGTGGGTGAGTCGCTGGAGGGTAGTGGGGAGGGGACGGGAGAGAGGCAGAGGAGGGTGAGGTGGAGGTGGCAAAACAAGACCTGTCTCACTGCCAGTACCAGGAAAGGATGGGGACAAAGGCCCAGAACAGCGTTCTAGGAGGCACACAGCAGGGCCGTGCCAGTCAGAGGGCAGTGGGCATGGAGAGGGGATGCAAAGATGAGGGGTGAGGGGGAGAGCAAGTGGGAAGATGGCCACAACGGCTGGAGCTTGGGAAGGAGCCAGTCTCCAGGTTCAGATGTGTGGGGTAGGAGGAGCCCCGAGAGGCAAAGGCCAAGGGACAGCACAGGCTGGCAAAGCCAAGGCCACAGAGGGCTTCTCAAGAGATTGGGGTGTTGGAGCCAGGGCACTGGCTTTGCCCTGCCATGCACAACCTCGCCTCCTTCGCCTGTATCCTGGGTATCCCGCTCTATTCCACAGTCCTCAGCCCAGGCCACGTGCATGTCATTAGACATGCCAGCAGAGGGCAGCCGCCTCCCACAGACACTTCCTCTACAGCCCCTGGCTCTAGAGCCAGGCCGGGCAGGTGTAGTGCTGCATGCCTGTAATCCCAGCACTAGGGTGACTGAGGCAGGAAGATCAGCAAGAGCTCAAGGCCAGCCTAGACTACACAGCCAGATCTTGTCTCAAACAGATTAATAGAACCAGGCTGGGTCACAGTGAGCAGGCCCCATCGGAGACAGCCTGGTCTACCTCCTCTTGATACTCCTCGGCTCCTGGAATGCCAGCTGATGTGCGTTACCTACCCTTGCTGCACTGCGGTCTGGCTCAATGTCTGCACCCCACCCCCAGGCCTCCCAGCTCCCGGCCTCCCTTATGGCTGGTTCTCGGTTCTCATTGTGATGCCTCCATACAGGATCTTAGGCAGCTGAAGGTTGACAGCTCCTCACTCCCCTCCCCAGATATGGGCTGGTGGCCTTGGGGACTTGCAGGAGGCAGCTGCTAGCCTGTGGTTCCCTGGACAGGCCAAGAGGTGAGATGAGCCCTGTGTGCCCAGCCCTGAGTTGCCTCACCTCTGCCCATGTCATTTGCAAAGAGCAGGACATGGGGAATAGAGTTGGTCCCCTCTGCTGGGCCTCACATGACATCCTGACCTGACAGAACTGCGACGTCACAATGAAGGCAAAATGATTTAGGTTGTACTGCCCGGAAGTGATTTTTAGGCATAACAGACAGGGAGACTTTGACCCTGGCATCTTGGATGAAAGTCCTCCGTGGCTCCCCTGTGCCCACATCACGCTTCTACCTTTGAAGTTCAAGGCAGCTGGTCCCACGTAACTTGGCCTCCTTGCACAACTGAGCTCTGGCTTCTGCACCCATGGGCCCAGCTTTCCAGGGCCCTTTACTGCTGTGGACCTCACTGCTGTGGACAAGTGGCCATTCTTGCCCCATGCAGCTCAGTACTCATGTCTCTGTGCCAGGCAAAGGCCTCTCTTAGGCAATGTATGGGTCAGCATCACTCCTGCCACACTTGGCACACTGCAGACCTGGGGCATGACAGAGGCCTTTCCTGCTAATCTGTTATGCAATATGTTAAGGAAATCAATCACAGCACTTTTAAAATAAAAACAAACATGTCACCACC